TCACACTTCTATTATACAGGAAGGGCAAATAGCAATATTAAAATATTTCTGCTAATTAATTCCCTTTTAATGTGCACGAATTTCATGCACCGGGCTACTAGTATAAAATAAAGTTCAAGTTATAGGCAACAAATGACCTTGATCTTTATGTACAAGCTTGATTTAAGTATATATCATATACCTAGCAATGTGCTAGGACTTAAACTAAGAAAAGGCTAGATTATTGAAAGTTATGAGTGCCAGGGCAGAGTGGGGGCTTGATCAAATAGTTATTCAAAAGAACATTTTGGCCCTAACCGGTATGGCTCAGTGGATAGAGCGTCAGACTGTGGACTGAAAGGTCCCGGGTTCGATTCTGGCCAAGGGCATGTACCTTGGTTGTGGGCACATCCCCAGTAGGGGGTGTGCAGGAGGCAGCTGATCGATGTTTCTCTCTTGTTGATGTTTCTAACTCTCCCTCCTCTCTGTAAAAAATCAATAAAATATATTTTTTATAAAAAGAACATTTTGGAGAGGAAATATCATGATAAAAGCAGTAATTCAGCTAACAGCACATAGGAATGGGGAAAAGAATAGATGAAGAATGACAGATATGAATGCTATTATTAATAATTAATCTTATTATTTAGGCACTATCCCTTTTAAATGAATCAAATGTCCATATTTATTAAACAGATTAAAAGTTCTTTAAGGGGTTCTTTAAATAGCGATCTTTGTTAGGCATCTGAAGCACCAAAGTATAATTTGCACAAAACTTTCTTAGAAACATACTCACGAAATAAGATACATTTGTAGTTAAGTATTAATGATATCTTATATTCATGTTAGCAATTAAACACTTCAGTAACAATTTTTTTTTACCTTCCAATTCCAGGTAATGTATCAGGAAACCATGACAATTCCAGTTCTTGTCTCTTCTGTCTAATTAATGCACTGATTTCATTGACTTCTATAAATTCTGTACTAAAAGATAAATTTTACACCTTCATCAGAATTCTAAAAATTTTAAGTTTGGAGTAACAATTGGGTTCATGATATATATGCAGTTGTTTTCATACCTAGCATTATAAATCACATTTATAAGGATAAGAACATTTTTCTATTTAAACACTTTAAAAATGAACTAATTCCTAAAAGTTAATAAAATATTTATATTACAAAACAAAATTATGTTTATCTGATTCATAAAAATAATGCTTGAATTTCTATTTAAGTGACAGAATTTTTAAAAAGTCAATTCAGACTAATATCCTCGGTATAGAGAGAAAAAACCCTAACACTATTTCTATCCCATGAACCAAAGCTACAGCAAGCAGCTCCAGCAGAAATTGTAGGCGCAATAATTTCCACCTGAAACTAAGCAGAGGACAAAAGAAGAAAATCAAAGAAGGTACAGTTACTATAACAAAACATAACGAAAAAAGGGGTATAGTTCAGCTTTTCAAAGACTACTCAGACGTAAGTGCTTTCTTGTAATTCAAGCTCGTAAATTGAATTCTACAATCATAATCTGTCTTGTTAGTTCAACCAATTCTATGCGATTTTAAAAGTCCAACTTATTTTTCAAATTCCACCTATCACTATGGATTCAAAGAAGGATGTACTCTGAAAGGGCGATGCTTACTGCTAGCCTACTTTTTTCTATCAACAAAACGCCTGTGTAGAATAATTTATTATTAATAAAAACAAAGCTCACTAGCATAGGCAAGTCATTGCATAATAGAGAATGTCACAAAATGATAGGTTTTCTTTTTGCTAAAACTAGTTTATTTTCCAAAAGGAACAAAAGCAAAAATCAAGGTGGGCTTTCATAATGTTTGCTGAGCCTAAGTTTAAATTTTTACCAAAAGTTAATTATAACTAAAACATCAAGTAGAAAAAAGCATAAATTAAAAGTAGAAAATACTAACCAGTAAGCTCTACAGGTAAAAGAAGTGTCTCCAGTGTGACTAGTAGAAGAAAACATATTGAAGGAAGAATTTCTGAAGGACTGACTTGTACACTGATTTGATCTTCGAAGCTATAAAAGTAAAAACAGGTTAGTGAAACAGCAAACAAAAAACCTCCATAATATAAATAGTAGGTAAAAGTTGTATTGAAGACTTTTATATACCGGAGGCACTAGCGTCATATACTAAAAACCATAAAGTTATCTAAGAAAAAGATTTTTCAACACACCTTCTTTATCTTCATTATTGCATTTTTCTTTCCTCCCATTTCACTGTATTTAGTTTTTCCTGTACAAAGACACAAAAAGGCTTGGTTACCTTGTCTTAATGTTTATTTTAAAAGGTTGTAAAACCAGTACTGATACTGACACATTGACAAAAGGAAGTTAAAATATGTAGAAAAGTTGCATTTAAAATTATAGTACTGGCCCGGCTGGCGTGGTTCAGTGGTTGAACGTCAATCTATGAATCAGGAGGTCATGGTTCCATTCCTGGTCAGGACATATGCCCAGGTTGCAGGCTCAATCCCTGGTGTGGGGCGTGCAGGAGGCAGCTGATCATTTGTTCTCTCTCATCATTGATGTTTTTATCGCTTTCTCCCTCTCCCTTCCTCTGTGAAATCAATAAAAATATATTTTAAAAAATAAAATAAGCCCTAGCAGGTTTTCTCAGTGGATAGAGCATTAGCCCATGGAGTAATGGGTCCCAGGTTCGATTCCAGTCAAGGGTATGTGCCTTAGTTGCAGGCTTTATCCCTGGCCCTGGTCCAAGAGTGTTCAGGAGGCAACCAATTAATGTGTCTCTTTCACATCAATGTTTCTCTCTCTGTCTTTCCCACTCCCTTTCACTCTCTCCAAAAATCAATAGAAAAATATCCTCGATAATGATTAACACACACACACACACACACACACACACACACACAAAACAAAACAAAAAATAGTTGCATTTACATAAATTTTCCAAATGCTAATTTTATCTTATCTTGTTAAGCCACAGATATATGAAAAATGTTAAGAGACCACAATAGAGAAAACTGGTAAAGCATGTAATACTGCTATCTTAGTGCATGAGCATTAGAATTCTAGTCAACATTTTCTGGCACCCTATGAAAATTTAAACCACCCTGTAACAAAAAATAAAAAATAAATAAATTAAAAAATATATTTATTTATTTATTTATTTATTTCTGGCAC